GTTGTTTCTCCGATTGTTGCAGGCGATGGTGAAGATGGAGTAGAATCTGTTGGGAATGATGTTTTTCCCAGTGTTGAACCACTTTCACTTGTTAATGATTCTGTTGTGGTCGTGCTCATAGAAGACACAGATGTTGTAAATGTTAAGGGAGTTAATGGTGTAGATTCTCTTTCAGCAGTGGAAGTATATTGAGTGGTTTGTGTCAGCTGGCTTGTTTTTTGCTCTAAACTAGATGAAGATATATCTGTTGTAGATGAAGTGAATTTTGATGTTTTCCATCCTTCTGTTGTAGACGATGCTAAAGATGGAGTAGTATCTGTTGGGAATGATGTTGTTTCCAGCGTTGAACCACTTTCAGTTGTTGATGATTCTGATGTGGTTGTGCTCATAGGGGACACGGCTGTTGTAAATGTTGATTGAGCTGTTGTTGCAGGTTCTGTTTCTGTGCTGGCAGACTGAGTGGTTTGTGTCTGCTGGCTTGTTGTTTTCTCTGCAGTTGATGGAGATATTACTGTTGTAGATGAAGGGAATTCTACTGTTGTTTCTCCGATTGTTGCAGGCGATGGTGAAGATGGAGTAGAATCTGTTGTGGATAATTTAGTTGCCGCTGTTGATCCACTTTCACTTGTAGATGATTCTGTTGTGGTTGTGCTCAGAGGGGACACAACTGTTGTAAATGTTGTTGGAGCTAATGTTGTAAAATCAGTTCCAGTGGTCGAAGTATATTGAGTGGTTTGTGTCAGCGGGCTTGTTGTTTGTTCTACACTGGATGGAGCTGTTGTTGTAGATTCTGTTTCAGTGGTAGAAGTATATTGAGTGGTTGGTGTCTGCTGACTTGTTGTTTGTTCTACACTAGATGAGGATATCTCTGTTGTAGATGAAGTGAATTCTGATGTTGTTTCTCCGATTGTTGTAGACGATGGTGAAGATAGAGTAGAATCTGTTGGGAATGATGTTGTTCCCAGTGTTGAGCCACTTTCACTTGTAGATGATTCTGTTGTGGTTGTGCTCATAGGGTACACTGCTGTTGTACGTGTTGTAGATACTTCTAATGTTGTAGATTCAGTTTCAGTGGTAGAGGTATATTGAGTGGAGTGTGTCAGCAGGCTTGTTGTTTTTTCAACACTTGATGAAGATATCTCTGTAGATGAAGTGAATTCTGATGTTGTCTGTCCTTCTGTTGTAGACAGTGGTGAAGATGGAGAAGTATCTGATGTGGATAATGTTGTTTCCACAGTTGAACCACTTTCAGTTTTTGACGATTCTAATGTGTTCGTGCTTATAGGGGATTCAGTGGTTGTAAATGTTGATTGACTTGTCTCTGTAGATTTTTTTTCTGTGGTGGTACTTAACTGAATAGTTTGTGTCTGCTGGCTTGTTGTTTGTTCTACACTAGATGAAGATATCTCTGTTGTAGATGAAGTGAATTCTGCTGTTGTCTGTCCGATTGTTGTAGACGATGGTGAAAATGGAGTAGAATCGGTTGTGGTTAATTTAGTTGCCGCTGTTGATCCACTTTCACTTGTTGATGATTCTGTTGTGGTTGTGCTCAGAGGAGACACAACTGTTGTAAATGTTGTTGGAGCTAACGTTGTAGAATCAGTTCCAGTGGTCGAAGTATATTGAGTGGTTTGTGTCAGCGGGCTTGTTGTTTGTTCTACACTAGATGAAGATATCTCTGTTGTAGATGAAGTGAATTCTGCTGTTGTCTGTCCGATTGTTGTAGACGATGGTGAAAATGGAGTAGAATCGGTTGTGGTTAATTTAGTTGCCGCTGTTGATCCACTTACACTTGTTGATGATTCTGTTGTGGTCGTGCTCATAGAAGACACAGATGTTGTAAATGTTAATGGAGTTAATGGTGTAGATTCTGTTTCAGTGGTAGAACTAAACTGAGAGGTTTGTATGTCCAGGCTTGTTATTTGCTCTGCACTGGATGGAGATGTTTCTGTTGTTGATGAAGTGAATTCTGATGTACTTTGTCCTTCTGTCGTAGTAGATGGTGAAGATGGAGATGTACCTGTTGTGGATAATGTAGATTCCACCATTGCTCCACTTTCAATTGTAGATGACTTTATTGTAGTTGAGCTCAGAGGGGAGACAGCTGTTGTAAATGTTGATGGAGCTAATGTTGTAGATTCTGTTTCAGTGGTAGAAGTATATTGAGTGGTTTGTATCTGCTGGCTTGTTGTTTGCTCTGCAGTGGATAGAGATATTACTGTTGTAGATGAAGTGAATTCTGCTGTTGTTTGTCCTATTTTTGAAGACTGTGGTGAAGATGGAGTAGAATCTGTTTGGAATGATGTTGATTCCGCTGTTGATCCACTTTCTCTTGTAGATGACCCTATTGTGATTGTGATCATAGCGGACACACCTGTTAAAACTGTTGATGGAGATAATGTTGTAGATTCTGTTTCAGTGGTATAAGTATATTGAGTGGTTTGTGTCTGCAGGCTTGTTGTTTGTTCTACACTAGACAGAGATATTTCTGTTGTTGATTAAGTAAATTCTGAAGTACTTTGACCTTCTATCATAGTGGATGGTGAAAATGGAGAGGTACCTGTTGTGTATAATGTAGTTTCCGCTGTTGTACTACTTTCACTTGTAGTTGATTCTAATGTGGTTGTGCTTATAGGGGACATAGTTGTTGTAAATATTGATTTAGCTGTTGTAGGTTCTGTTTCTTTTGTGGAAATAAACTGAGTTTTTAGTAAATATGTAAAGATATTTACAAAATATTTACAATATTTAGAGTCTGTTTGTGTGGTAGAACTAAACTGAGTGGTTTGTGTCTCCTGGCTGGTTGTTTGTTCTACACTAGATAAAGATATTTTTGTTTATTAATTCAGTTTTGACATCCTCTGTTTTTCTTTTGTAGAGGATGGTGAAGATAAATAGGTGGCTAAAGTGAAAAGAGTAGTTTAAGTTTTTTGGACATGTTTTTCTACATTATTTTAAGGTATTTTGTTAGTGTGTGAAATAAAATCTAGCATGCTTTTTACTTCTTTCACTGAAGATGCTTTAATTTTGGGGGGTTCTTCTTGATATTGGATTTTTAGACTTTGATCCCCTGTGTAGTTGTTTGAAGGATGTGCTTATGAGAAAAATCTAAATAGTTGTTTGTGTTGATTATTATTGTTAAAGTGGGAATCAGTTTTGGAAGTTGTTGTAACTGCATTATTTTAAAAGTATCTTTTTTGTTTAAATTTGACTTTATTATTTATTTTCCTTATTGACTTTTTTGTCTTGCATGGAGTTTTTGCATGCCTTTCATAATCCTAAGATATTATTTTTATTTTTGTATTAACATTAATATTTGTCCAAATATACTACATTTACATTATAGAGCTTTGTCAGTATGTATATTTGTCACATACCTCTCTTAGAGTATTTATAGCATGGGTGCTATGAATAAATCATTAGTCTTTGTGTACTAGTTTAACAGCATCCAACTTGATTAAATTACAAATTGATTGCTGATATGTCAAAGATTTTTTTAAGCAATTTGTAAGTCAGAGGCAGAGGTGGGAATATGTGAATAGTTTTTTTTACACATATACTATATACATGATATTTAATACAAATTCACAAGGCAATTAATTATGCTCTTTTATATATCATTCTGTATTTCAGTCCACTACAGAATGTGAAGATGCAATCACATTTTTTTACTGCATTTATTTAAAAGTGTCTTTTTATCTTCTTTTTTTTTTTACCAGCTATTCACAATCTTTAACAAAATGCCAACATATTTTTGTTTTAATTAATCAATTTCATTTAAAACTAAATAATAAAAGGCTTTTGAATCTTACCTGAATTTGCACCAAGTCCCATGACTATGAAAAATACCAGCAGGATTGAAGTTTTTTTCCAGAAATACATGTTGAGATTGTTCGTGTGAGATGGTTGTTTGTTTAAAATGATTACAATTTATCTTTTGAAATTTTCTCTCTCCAGCACAATTTGTATGAACATAGTCAGCCAAATGCACCTGCCATTAGTGTTTCTCCTCTGTTAAATTTCAACATCAACCTGATGAAGACGATGTGTGTGTGTGTTCCCTGCAAACAATAAATGTCATCAGGTATGGGCACTTTTGCGTAAAAAAAAAAGTAAGTTCACGCCTTGAGTAAACCACACTGATTGGGAGTGTATGTGGTTTTGAAATGCCTGAACAGTTATATGACCTTCACCCGTTGCACCCTTTCCAAGGAATTCTCAGTACGACAATGCAATAAATCCAAGAGAAGAAAATAAACTTTCTCTTTCATTTGTGTAAAACAGATATCAGGTCAAATTATGCGTACATACAATAAAACATCAGTTTCAAGTTTAGTGGCTATTCAAGGTCATGCATTGCAATTTGATTTAAAACACTCTTTGTGCTTGTACTGTTATCTAACATTTTGTCGATCATGATAAATCCTTTAAGAAAGCGAATAATACCTAATAATACCTAGTTTATTACTCCAGACAAAGCCAAAGATTACCTGAAAGTTCTCAGATCCAACTTAATTGTTTACCAAAACTAAACAGGCAGGAGATGACGTGGATTGGAAGCTGTTTTGAGTTGATGCCTTTCTTATATTCATCAAGTTTTGTTATAGCCTAATAAGTGATGGAGTGGTTTTACAACGGTTTCACATTATCATGTTACATTCTTCACAAACTCATCACTTTAAAAAGTTAAACTAGGTCCTGCTTGGGAAACAGAAGCTAGTTGGCACCAGTCTTAATACAAGAAATAAACGAATACATTGCTTTGAGGTTGCTAGGCTGTGCGTAAATATGGCTTGTGTCACTTAGGTCTATGAGATTTTTCCACCTGTTTTATCGTCTGCCAAAAAAAAGTCATAAATCAATTTGCTTTGTAAATTAACGGCACACCTTTTGTCAACAAGCCGCATGATTTGAGAGATCAATCATGCCCATCACACAAACAATACAGGACAAGTTATGTGCTGAAATTTAATACTTAAGGTTAGCAACGTTGGTTTCTTTTGTTCATATGACATTCTATAAATAGTGACTTTGTGTTAATCAATATTATATGGCAACCATACGAAAACAATGACTCTACAGTAGGTGTAGAATATGTTCTTGACCTTAGGTCATGTCTTCCACACCTATTTGCTATCTCAGAAACATTTTTGAGTCATAGAGAATATCTTTAGTCATATGTATTGCATAAAACCAAAGGGCACTTCCATGAAAATGTCAAGCATACCATGGAGAAAAGAAAAAAAAACTTTTGAGCTGCACTGCATTAGAGTGATATAATAGATTTTTCATCCACCACACACAAGGTGTGCTCAAAAAGCAGTAAAGGGTTTAATTTTTATTTCAGTCAATTTTATCATAGAAAGACATGATGCCTGATCTGGTTTGCTGGTTTTAACTGGAGCCAAACTAGTGTTTAGCTGGTTTAGCTGAGCAGCAGACCAGTCTGAGACTATCTTGGTGTTTCTTTCTTTCTTTCTTTCTTTCTTTCTCTCTCCCTCTTTCTTTCTCTCTCTCTCTCCCTCTTTCTTTCTCTCTCCCTCCCTCCCTCTTTCTTTCTTTCTTTCTTCCTTCCTTCTTTCTCTCTCTCTCCCTCTTTCTTTCTTTCTTTCTCCCTCCTTCCCTCTTTCTTTCTTTCTTTCTTTCTTTCTTCCTTTCTTTCTTCCTTCCTTCCTTCATTCTTCCTTCATTCTTCCTTTCTTTCTTTCTTTCTTCCTTTCTTTCTTTCTTTCTTTCTTTCTTTCTTTCTTTCTTTCTTTCTTTCTTTCTTTCTTTCTTTCTTCCTTCCTTTCTTTCATTCTAGCATGGTATACACTACCCTTTTCATTATTCCAGTAATTGCTTTGAAAAACTAAACTGGCCAGAGCAAAACCCAGACCTGAACTCCTTTGGGATGGATTGAAACAGCGTGACTGGCTGATGCTTTTGTGTAGATTTTGGCATTAAGCTAATTTTTGTTGCATGGAAAACTCAAACTCAAAAAAAAAAAAGGAAAACATTAAAAATGCACTATAAACCTGTTTTTAATGCATCATCTTTTGTAACAGGCTTTTATGAAGCATCATAAAAATGTTCTGTACAGATCTGCAGGTCTGTTACACATCACAGAAACATTTTTGAGTCATAGAGAATATCTTTAGTCATATGTATTGCATAAAACCAAAGGGCACTTCCATGAAAATGTCAAGCATACCATGGAGAAAAGAAAAAAAAACTTTTGAGCTGCACTGCATTAGAGTGATATAATAGATTTTTCATCCACCACACACAAGGTGTGCTCAAAAAGCAGTAAAGGGTTTAATTTTTATTTCAGTCAATTTTATCATAGAAAGACATGATGCCTGATCTGGTTTGCTGGTTTTAACTGGAGCCAAACTAGTGTTTAGCTGGTTTAGCTGAGCAGCAGACCAGTCTGAGACTATCTTGGTGTTTCTTTCTTTCTTTCTTTCTTTCTTTCTCTCTCCCTCTTTCTTTCTCTCTCTCTCTCCCTCTTTCTTTCTCTCTCCCTCCCTCCCTCTTTCTTTCTTTCTTCCTTCCTTCTTTCTCTCTCTCTCCCTCTTTCTTTCTTTCTCCCTCCTTCCCTCTTTCTTTCTTCCTTCCTTCCTTCATTCTTCCTTCATTCTTCCTTCCTTTCTTTCTTTCTTTCTTTCTTTCTTTCTTTCTTCCTTCCTTTCTTTCATTCTAGCATGGTATACACTACCCTTTTCATTATTCCAGTAATTGCTTTGAAAAACTAAACTGGCCAGAGCAAAACCCAGACCTGAACTCCTTTGGGATGGATTGAAACAGCGTGACTGGCTGATGCTTTTGTGTAGATTTTGGCATTAAGCTAATTTTTGTTGCATGGAAAACTCAAACTCAAAAAAAAAAAGGAAAACATTAAAAATGCACTATAAACCTGTTTTTAATGCATCATCTTTTGTAACAGGCTTTTATGAAGCATCATAAAAATGTTCTGTACAGATCTGCAGGTCTGTTACACATCATGTTGTGTGAATGCACAACACAATCCTGAAAGTGTGTAGCAGCTCATTTTTCACACATCCACTAAACAAGGTGGTTTTGCAGTCATGTACCAGGCCTTTTCACAATTTCAGGTTTAGTTTGATTAGTTGTGAGGCTTCAATGGATTTTATGTTTTAGTGGTCAAAGCCTGCAGGTTTTAAAGCATTGTATATGTAGGATGTTTTCAATAGTCATCATCTTGTCCTTTTTTTCCTTATTAAAGGGCTAGTTCACCCAAAAATTACAATTCTGTCGTCATTTACCCGCCGTCAAGTTGTTCCAGATCTGTATGAATTGTAATTATTCTGCTGAACAAGATATTTTGAAGAATGAAACAGTTGATGGTCCCCATTAACTTCCGTAGTATTTTATTTATTTATTTCAAACTATGGAAGTCAACGGGGACTGTTTGGTTACAAACATTCTTCAAAATATCTTCTTTATTTTTCCATGGAAGAAAAAAAATTCATATAGCTTTGGAACAACTTGAGTATGAGTAAATTATGGCAGAATTTTTTTGTTTGTGTGAACTAGCCCTTTAAAATGTAAATACATTATGTGGCTGTTATTGTTTCCAGAGATTGTCTTACTAGGCCTATAGGGAGATGAGAGGGTCTGTATTACTTACTATTGGAGAAAGTGTAACGGTCAACTTGGATCAACTTGGTGTAAAACATATTGAAGATTAGCTGATAGGCTGTCGATTCATTAAAGGATAAGCTGTTTCCTCTAAAAAGCTGTTTTTTCAGTGTAGTGAAGCCTCTCCTCCTTCGATATCCATTAAAAAAACGACCTCTGGTCTCCTTTTGCATGTACTGACTAAATGTCATTTTTGGCTAAATGTTGCAGGCTTGCCTTCTAGTGGCTTTGATCATCCTACTTGGTCACATGAGTGATGCATTTAAAAACAGAGTTCAGACATTATACCTCCAGTTTATTATTATATATACAAAGGGTTTGATACAGTCTGTGTGCATTGAATTGATTTAATACACGAGTTTCACAATTTGAGTTGAATTACTGAAATAAATGAACTTTTCCACGATATCCTAATTTATTGAGATGCACCTGTATTTATTACTTTTAAGATGATTTTACATGTGAAGTCAAGCTTTGCATATCTATCTTCCAATAATTCTAGGGCAAAACGTTATTTTGATCCTATTTTGACGCAGTGTGATTTAATTCATTTGTAGCGTTAAATATATTGATAAATGTTATGATTTTCAAATGTATTTATATTTGATATTGCAGCAATTAGTAACAAAATTACGTATAAACATTGAGTGAGCCAAACTGCCATCAATGAAGAAGAAAAAAAATAGAGTGGGTTGACGTAGGTAACTCTGATTCATGTTTCCTCATTCCATGTGGACATGTTACTATGTGCTTTATATTAATAAAGCAAGCAATTTTTAATAGTGCTTTTAGTTGAACACTGTAAAATTGTTAAGACTAATATTAATTATGTTTCAAAATTGTAAATAAAACATTGTTGGAGTATGTTTTACAAGAAACTACTATTTTAATGTTTCTACTTCAAAATTTCGTGTTTAATTCAATTGTGTTACTTACCGTTTTTTGTAATTATTTGTGAAATTTACTAGCAGTTTTTTAATGAAAACTGCAAATTGTTAATCCGTTTAAAGTAAATCCTACCCCAAATCTTTTTCTTGAAATATTTAATATATGAACCTCCAGTCTTGTGCCCTCTAAACGGCCACATCACTAAATTCAAATAAAAGTTTGTTGAGAATTGCTAAAAAAGAACATTCATTTGTGTAATCAGACACTGTATAACACAGCCCATCCATAAAACCTTCAGACAC